TTTTTTCCTTTGGGTCCATTTTCCCTCTTTGTTTTGCAGGTAACATCTAGATGAATATTTCTCTTTTAATTGGACTCTGGGCTCCTTTGGTTCCCTCACTGCCTAGAAGATGCACAGGCTGGTTCCTTTTGTATCTATGCTTCTTTTTCTATGTCTGCTTCTGTCTCCTTGAACCCCAGTCGGCCTCTGCAGATGGCAACTGACACTGAGCCTGGTTCTGCTGGAGGTTTCTTCCTGCTCAAAGGGAGTTTTTCCTCTCCACTGTCGCTACAAGCATGCTTGGTGTGAGGGATTGCTGAAGAGTCAATGAGTCGATGCAATCAGCTGGTGATAAAAAAACTTTGAATCAATCTGACTGGATGATCTGATGAACCGTAAAGTGCCTTGAGATGACATGTGTTGTTGAATTGGCGCTATAGAAATAAACTGAATAGAATTTAATTGGTCCTGGTTCTGGTTCTGCAGAGTAGAGCTGATCCATTAGACTAGAGAGGTCTGGCTGTTGATCCACTGACATCAGGTCGCATGTATTTTGGAGCGAATCCATTCAATGATTCATAAACTACAGCAATCATCCTTCACATCACAGTGATTTTCAGATTTATTCAGGCTAAATTTGCTTAATGTTGAATTTGTTTTATCTGAAACATTGAAGAGCAACAGAAACAGGTAAAGGAAAACTACTGAGCTGAAGGACCAGATGGTTTCACATCATCATCAACATGAACATTTTAATAAAATGTCCTGACCTCTGAGTATGGAGCCACAACAGTGAACAGATTCTAATGTTGGTAGTGAATATGATGAGGATGATGATGATTGTGATAATAGTGATGAAGATGATGGGAATGATAATAATGGTGATGATGATGGTAATAATAGTGATGATGATGATGTGAAGATCATATAATGATGATGGTGATAATAGTGATGATGATGATGGTAATGATGATGAAGATGATGGGGATGATAATGGTGATGATGATGTAATTATGGTGATGATGATGGTAATAATAGTGATGATGATGATGTGAAGATGATATAATGATGATGGTGATAATAGTGATGATGATGATGGTAATGATGATGAAGATGATGGGGATGATAATGGTGATGATGATGTGGAGATCATATTATGATGATGGTGATAATAGTGATGATGATGATGATGATGATGATGATGATGATGATGATGATGATGATG